ACATTACTATCAGTTGAGTGCAATTCAGTAATCAGAAACAAACCTTAATATGAATAGCATCTGTCATAGGAAAGTCATTGATCCCTGAAGGGCACATAAAAGACTGCAAAGATATAACATAAAAGTTGTAGGATAAAATTCCAATGCCAAAAATGATCAACAACTCTATTAACAGAATATTGCCTATTATCTTTGCAAGGGGAAAACGGTTTCAGAAAGAAGGGAGTTAAGTCCTAATGATGTCAATAAGTTCTCAACTTACTTAATGCAAATTATGTCTAGGATCCAGAGCAACATCCATCAATTGGGAATCACTTAAGTTCATACATGACATGACATCAAGATTATTCATACAATACTATTGAAGGCATAACTCTTAAAAAAATACAAAGACCCAGCCTTCAATATATTATTGGTGGCATAACTACGCAAATGATGTATAGCTAAATCATCCCATTAGATGCTTAGCTTCAAACCAAGGGCGCCAGCATCTAAGAGAGCTTCCAGAGCTGTTGCATTGAATGCATTTTCGGGTACTAGACCTCCCCAAAAGCCTGGCAATGCTAGTTTTTTAGACTTGAGCCTTTGAAATAGTGATTTATTAAGATAGAGTTCACGGAACATACCAACATCAACATAAATACTCCTCTGGAGCCTCAATCTGTCAAGAAAAAAAGTTGTTCAAACATATGCTATATAGCATATCAATTATGTTGTCACATATAAGCAGGGGTGTGCAAAAATACCCGACCCGGTTGACCCGACCCGCCGGCCTGAACTTAAAAAAACCGGTAATTTTCTAAAAAAAATTACCCGGACGGGTCGGGTACCCTGCCCGACATTTCCCGGGTCGGGCCCGGGTCACAAAATTGAGTTTTTCCGGGTACCCGGTTACCCAGTTAGTTTTTAATTTTTTTTATTATATATATATAATAATATATATAATATAATATAATGAATTATTTATATTATGGATTATTAGATTTTGTATTTCGAACTTTTAAATTTTATGTTCGGATGTTGGAGTATGTAATTCGAAGTTTCGAACATTTAAATTTGTGTATATTTTTTTAAATTAATAATTTGAAAATGAAAAAAAAACATCCGGGTCGGGACACGGGCCGAGAAATCACCGACCCGGATGTTGCGGGTACCCGGATTTGCACACCCCTTCATATAAGTACTAGGCATACCTTGAGTTTCAATGTTTCTGCTGAAACAGTGGAAGGAAAGTTATTTAGAGGCATGCCAATCAATGTTGTAATACCCCCTGCACATAAAGAGTAATAGAAAGTTAAGGTGCATAAAGTGTGGCAGACCAAAACAATCATGAAAGAGATATTCTAAATTCCGTTAGCACTACACCAAAGGAATAATAAAACATGAATATATCCTTCGACCAAAGAGGAAAAATAAGGAAGAAAAACATATTTATCTGAACAACCAAATCCGATCATAAACGCTTTAGGCTATCGGTAGCCAAAAAAAACTACAGAAAACTGTAAAGTTTGCTCAAAGAAGGTGCATTTATAATTTGTACTTATTACCAAAGGAGACATCAGTGCAAGTTCATTATGCTTTATACATATAAAGCAATATACCCGCCGCAGCTGCTTTAGTCCCTGAAGGAAATCCCTCCCATTCAGCCCTCCCTGGATCATCCAGATGCGCATGCCTACCATGGACAAAATGTAATCACTGTAAATTTTCCTTTTGATCAAATCTACTTCCATGCTTAAGCAGTTTTATCTATCTCAAGTATTGCTTAGAATTTACACTATGTTTGATAGGAAGAAAGGAAATTGGAGGGAAACAGAAAAGTTGAAGAAAAAAGAAAGGAGAGGAAAGTAACCTGTTTTTCCTTCTTTGTGCTCGCTTTTAAAGATGAAACTAAAGTGAACGAAAAAGATTACGGGGTAAAGTTGAAGAACAAAAATTAAGCTGAATAGGTTTCCTTCATGGAAGGAATGAAATCACTCAATCAGAGCAAAAGGCTACAAATCTGCTCATTTTCCCGTCTTAATTTTTTATCTCCCAGTATTCAAAGGAAATGGTGGGAAAGTTCGATTTTAGTTCCATTCCCTTTCCTTCCTCTTTCCTTTTCTACCAAGCACAGTGCTATGATATCTATTTACAGTTGAAGAAATGAACAAATTGTGAACGCATTATGAATGTCAAGAAAACAAGATCTAACATCTTACGCATCAATCAAGCCAGGCATGACAACTGCATTGCCATAATCAAGTACTTGTTTAGATTTTCCATTCCAATCTTTGTCCTCAACTACTGATATGATATTCCCTCCCTTTACCTCCACCGTCCATTTAAGCATCCAGAAAATAAATAAAACAAAATGACTATTCAGTACCAAGTACAGCAAAATGATCTTGCAGTAACATTGATATTATCAACAACATAACAAACTAGATTCCATTGTTTCCTCCCACAAATCCTCATATGCAAAACCAGTCAAATCACATACCTGCACCAGAAATAATCCCTTGTGGGGTCACAATACGCTTGGTTGCAATGCAAGACTGACTGCGAGGAAGAAGACTGCAACCGCTTTGAGATGGCTGTCAAACGTAAAATAATAATTTTAGCTTCTCCAATTTATCAATTTACAATATCGAAAACCATAATCTATAACTGCAGATTGCCTTAAAGAGAACCAGAAAGGAAGTCAACTTAAGTCATTCCTTAAAGCAAACCAAAGCTAAGCTAAAATCACATAATCATTTCATGATCATTAAGATTCTAAAACCACAATCCAAGAAAAACCAGAAACTAAAGACAGTCAAGAGAACTGAAAATTTCAATTTCATCCGTTCAATTTCTCCTCAATATCAATATTTAAAAAAAATACAAAGTTTTAAGAATTAGTGTAACATTAGAAGATAGCTTAGAGGAATCTTGAATGCAGAAAAGGAAAAGAAAAGAAGCGAGCAGCGCTAACAGAGGAAAGAGATTCCATTTTAGCAAGTCCATATCTCTGCCTGCTTCCCCGCTTTCCACTTCCTCTATCTTGTTTTTGTTAGTGAGGGGAGGGAGGGAGGGAGGGAGGGAGGGAGGGAGGGAGAGAGAGAGATCCACGCCTTCATACACTTGTAGATGCATCTGAAATCGTGATTAAAATTGGGTTTAAATAATTTATAGGGTAAACGACAAAATTACTGAGATAATGTGTACCAGATTTTTTTATTTCCCAAATAATGCATCCGACAAATTATTTATCAGGATAGATCAAATTTTATAATAGAGTGTGAAGAGGCCGTATAATCTATACTTCTTGTTAAAGACATCAAAATTTTCATGTCTTCAAGCTAGATTCATCCTACCAACTTTTTTTTTTTTGTTATACAAAGTCGAAGACACATGGTATGAAAAAAAAAGTTACGTGGTAATTCATAAGTTCTTCCTTGAGATTGTAGATAACACCCTAGTTCAAAAAATAATTTGATAATAATTTTTACGAGGAAATTTATTTTCCATCCCCTTATATGTGCGAGGATGTTGGTGACCATCGAACTATGATCACAAACCATTTTGACCATCAAAGTTTTAAAAGTAATCAATCAGATCACCAACTATTTAAATCGTTCAATTAAGTCAATCACAGTTAATTTTTAACGGAGGTGATGAAGTAATAATTAATAAAATTGACATAATTATATATTTGATCCTTAATATTTACGCATTCTATCAATTTAATCACTATTTTAATTAAACTAAATAAAAATTTAACCCTCCAATTTAGAAGTTTCATGTGTCACTATATAATTGAAATGTTAATTTACTTAGTTTTAATATTTTAATTAAATAAAAATTTCATCAATCTGGTGGGACAAGTGTCATCACCAATGTAAATGGAAAACAAATTGAAATAAAAAGAAACTGCTAAGGGGATTCATACAATGAACCCTAAAAGTCCCTTAAGCAACCCTCTGCCACTAAGTTAAGCCTTCTATTTAGTTATAAAGTGTACAATATTTTATATATTGTGTTTGAGATTATTTCACACAAGTATATATACATAAAAACGAGTTTAATATTTTATCTCAATTTGTTTTCTCTTTATATAGTGGTGACATGTGTCACTATCTGATTGGTGGAAAATTTTATTTAATTAAAATATTAAAATTAATTAAATTAACTTTTTACATATTTTTTTAGAGTACTTTGACCTCAACGTTATATTTTATTTTAGGAAAAAATGATCCCTAGCTATATAAAAATTGTTAGTTGACTAACAATCAATTTTTTTATATTAGACTGCCATGTAACCACTTTCGATATATGATATGTGTCACACCATCACATCACTTTCGATAATCATATACCACAATACACTTTTTAACATATGTCATATGTTATGTAATCTCTTTCAACATGCGACATGTGTTACATATCACTTTAAAACATGTGTCACATTATTTTTTGGACACGTGACATGTTAGTTTGTCACTCTTTGACATTTAACATATATCACTTCATCACTTTGGACATGTGACAACCCAACATCAATAACATTCATTGATTATTAGTCAACTAATAATTTTTATCCAATCATGAGATAATTTGTCTCAAAATAAAATGTTAAGATCAACACACTTAAAATATATAAGAACCAAAACAACTATTTCGTTAAATGTTAAATATGAATTTTATCAATATATCTTTCATGGACAACCGTGTGGACCGATGGGCTTACTAGCCTTGATCGTTACAAAGGGCGAAGTAGCTAATAACTTGATTTTGCCCATTATCTTAAACACTTATTATTATTAAAATATTTATTTAATAATAGATTAAATATTATATTACGTGGTGATAGGCCAGAGGCTAACAGAAAACGCATAGTTTTTGCCACGAATAAAAATAAACCAACTGTCGCTAATTACCCCCTCTCTATAACAAAAAACAGTTATAATTTGTATCATCGGAGACGCCGTGTTTGGATACAGAGAAAAGAAAGCAAGCAAGATAAAACGAAAGAGAAAATGCTACTTCAACAATGGAGTTCGCAATGTGGAAATCATTGCACTAAGAAATACACCAGTCTTACAGAAATTCCTTGTAAAATTCCTATCGTTCTTCATTGTCTCCTTTTAAATTGTACGAGTTTTTCAATATCCGTTAAAATGGATTTATTTATTTGATTATTAATTTGTTTTTAATTAACTTAGTTTTGGAATAGGTTGCATTTTAGCTCTGGCATGGCATCTGTTGGTTTTATTAAAGTAATGTATGTGTGTTCCTTAATTTCGGTGTTAATTAATGATAATGTGATGATAGTATGATGTGTGTGTATATAGTACGATGAATTGTCTATTAATTTCAATAAGATGTCAATATTACTTTGCTTGATTAACCTATGCTTGCCATATTCCGATTATAAGTTTGATCATGCATTGTAACAATTGATTTGTGGTTGTAGTCGTTCTGATGTATTGGCTGTAATTGTAATTGTTGTAATTCACCTATTATTGAATTATGACATTATATTCATAGAGCTGCAACATATTTGATTTTTAGTTTACTTAGATCTATTGTGTGTCAGTTGTCCATTCATCCTACTACCTATGCTGAGTTTCTTGTAGGGAGAGTGTTCTGCAAAAAAGGGTGTGACAACGATGCTGATACGTGGGAAGAATGTAAGCAGTATTGTTTCTGTAGTGCTTGAAATTTCTAAGCTGTTTCCTAAGAAAAATTCCGTGTTACATTGGATTTGGTTTTGTTTAGTAAAATAATTTTCAAACATCAGTGCAATGTTACTCGGTATCCGATGTGAGTGTCGGATGCGGGTGTGTATCCGACATGGATATCATTAGATTTTTCTGATTTTGTGTATATTGAGGATCCTTGGAGGCCATTTCCCCATATTCATGTGTCAAACATAAGTAACGCACATAGCTTCTTCTAGAAAGATGGAGTCCGAGCAACATAGCATCAGTGTTTTGAAGTTCCATGTTTGGCATTCCAATGCTTAATTCGTATCTGCTAAGAATTAGTCTCAAAATGTCTCATTAAGTTGATTTTCTGATTATATTTTGAGCATCAGTTCTTACACCAAAGATGAGGCAAGTTAAAGACAGCAGATCATTGGAGCTACAGTGACAGCAGACACTAGATAGCACTGTTATTATAGGCTATTGAGAATTATTGTTCATTACTGATTAATGTGTCATGCATTCAGTTTCATCTGGATTATTCTGTTTAGAATTATTTCATCAATGGAAGAATTCTTTAACCAACCTCTATAGACAGAGCTGTACGTTAATAAGATGCAGTAGCAAAGTAATATATGCATTGGAAGCTGATTATATATCTAAAAGTGCTAAACACCATGGGCTTTTCAGGTATATCAGAGTGCACCGATTTATGCTATAAGGCTCCTGTATTAAAGGATCAGCAATGGAGTTCTTATATTGATCGTTCTCCTGGAGCTGTCAAACAATCTGAGGTATTTAATCTTTTAGTCCTTCTTTACCCCATATTTTTACTCATAGAAACCCTGAGGTTTGTCTTTTGCTTCTAGTTTCCATGCTTAGTATGATTTAACTGCCGTTTGGTGAGCCATTAGATTGTGATGAGCTGGATTATGTCTTCTCTTCATGAGCTTTGTTTAATAGAATGAGAGCTAATCTTTTATGAACTTCTGGAAGTCTGATGCTATGCCAACTTAGTCGATGCCAAACTGGTACTAGGAAAATTATATTGCAGTTTTCAAGTGTAGCCTTTCTCCCCTTCTGTTACTAGAAGCTTATAGGGTTGCAATTGATTGTTGATATAGACAGGTTGAGGCACACATATTTTGGTTGTAATGCGGTAATATTCTTTCTTTGATGCATTTTTGTCACTTAGGAGTTGATAACTATTGATGCCACTTGATTATATTCGGAAGGAGATGAAGCAAGAAATCACTTTGGAGGGGACAAAACCGAATTAAATTTCTTAGGAGGGGCGAACATACAATATAATCATTATATTAATTAAAGGTTTTATAATTTCTGAAGGGACTAAAGCATATTTTTTCCAATTCTGGGGTCCAAGGCCACTGCCTGCCTCCCTCTAACGCTGTCCCTGGTTTGGAATGTTTTCGGAAGTGCAATGAATTCAAACAGAATGTGGGATATATACTTGAATTCAGTGTGCAAAAATTGGAAACTCCGTTACAATGACGACGTTTTCTAATTCCCCACCAAACTAGGTGATTAAAGTGCTTCTGTTCAATGCACAAGGATGTATGCAGATGCATGACGAATAGGGCTTTGTATCACATGGCGAATGTATAATCAGAAATAATGAAAGTAACGCTATTTTTGGACAACCATGACTAGTAATTTCATTTTTCTTCCTCTATGCAGGAATGCTATAGTGCTTGTCTAGCTGGCTGTGGTTACAAGGTTGATTTATTCTATTGAATTGGAAAGATTAGTCATTCGCTTTCTGTCTTCTTGCAATTTGCAAATGATGTTTTTATACACATACTGCAGCTCGAGCTCTGTAAAGATGATGACGATGAAACACCAACTGGTCCTTCAGAGGAGAAGCCGCTAAATCCATCCGACAGTAAGCCTGGTGAAGCTACTATAAAATAACCAAGCTCAATGGCATAGTCTCTAACTCCGTAACCTTCTCCTCCGCTTCCGGTTGGCTAGCCACATGGACGAGGGAAAGGAAAGCGTTAGTTCGGAGCTGTTTCTGGGCCCAACAGGTTTAAAAACATAAATTATGAATATAAGTTATACCTCAATAAATTATTAACTGAATAGTCTGCAAGGAGATTCATCAAGTTGCAGGCATGCAATTATTGGCTGACATTGTCCCGGGGATGTTTTGGTGAATAAGCATAGTTTCTCTTTTCCTCCCTTGTTGCCTTAGTTAACCTTCAAACCAACATGTCTAGTTTTCTGGTTCTCTGCTGTATAGTTTTGATTGAATGTGATTGTGGCTGATCTTTAGGAATGAAGTTCTGGATACAATAACAAATTGCAGGGGATAAATCCTTGTAATTGCACAATGATGCGACTGAGTAGATATTCTCATATTTTAAATTTTTTCTATGTATTTTTTATTAAAAAATTGTTTTGCCTCCATCCCGAATTTTAATTCATCCCCTTAAGTTTAAGTTCACCCCGTAACATAAAATCTTGCATCCGTCTCTGCTCATGAAATCCATTACTTGTTCCGTAAAATGTTTGGATATCTGAAACGATCTTTTATCATACAAGCATTGATATCCGATCCTTTGGCAAATATGTAAGCAACCATAGCTTGAGTTAAACTACAAGCCGAACACAGAGCAAGACCAACATTATTAACATTGGGTGAAAGAGGAAACATCCCCTCGCTGATCCACGTTTTATCAACTGGGGCTAAAAGCTCCAATGAAGAAGAGAAGGTGAGGCGCGGTGACACCATCGCAATGGTGTGATCCAAAGGATGTTGGCTTAGTAAGAGAGAATAAAGGAGAAGAAGCTATGGTTAATTTGTTAAAATTTCACCGTTAAAAGTTAAATATATATATATATATATATATATATATATATTCTCAATTAATTATTAAAATAATATTTTTTATTGTTATGTATGATATAAATTTTATTTGATGATATGGAAACGTAATTGATCAAATGTATTTTACGAGTTTAAATTTATACAAACTTTGTTTAATAAGAAAAAATATGTATAGTATATATTCATTCATTTATTGAGTAATTAAAGACATATATAATGTCTATTAGTTATTAAAATAATATTTTTTATCGTTATGTATGATATAAATTTTATTAGATGATATAGAAACGTAATTGATCAAATGTATTTTACGAGTTTAAATTATACAAACTTTGTTTAAAAAGAAAAAATATGTGTAGTATGTATTCATTCATTTATTGAGTAATTAAAGACAACGTTCATACTTAAAAAAAGATCGCTAAGTAAAAAAAAATCTAGTTTTCTCTTATTGATGTGTCGCTTATCTCTTTTATTTTTCGTCTTTGTTGATCGGCAGTGACACAAATTTTAATGTTGGTTGTCGACCGCCGATATTTTTTATTGTCTTTTTATATCATATATTTTTTTTTTGTTTTTTGATTTTCAATAAGTTTGCATGTGTTGCACGTTTTCATCTGCCTTTATTGCACATTTTCTTATGTTTTTTGGTATGTTCTTCGGTTCTTTGGCCTTTTTTCATTTATATTTTTTTTTCTAAGGGTTGATTTGACATCGTTGCGATTGATTAAGATGACGCTTATCTAATATCTTGTGATATTCCCTGCTTTGGACCCCCGAATTGGATTTGGGTACCAGATTTGTGTTCGTGGATAGCTTTTCACGTCGCTCGAATTTGATTTGCGATTTGTTGGTGGTCTTTCAATAGTTTGATCTCCTTTTGTGGTTCGTTTGCCGATGCAATCAGATATGTTTGTATCTATCTCTGTTCGAGTTTCTTGGTTAGGTTTAATCTTTCTTTGTATTGTCCTTTTGTGATATTAAATTACTAGTTTTGTTTCAATGATTATGGGAAATTTTTCTAATTATGTGTTTAATTTACGATTGCAATTGCAAATCTTATTGTAATTTGACATATTTCTTATTTTGAATAAAATTAATTGTTTCTATAAAAAAAGATAACGTTCATACTTACATATCATTATTACTCTTTTGTTTCTTATATATATTTTATATACAAATATTATTATCATCATCTATTTCTTATTTATATTAATATTAATATGTATCTTCGATACACACTAGAATACATATTTTCTATAAATTTTATAGGGAATTCTAAGGAACGACAAAATAATATAAGACTAAAAAACGGTGCAACCAAAAATATGTAATGGAACTTAATAAAATAGGTTAAGCGATACCAGAAATGTTAAAATAAGTTTAATCTATTAAGTTTCATGCAGTTTAAAAAAAGGCTTAACCGGGTAATTTATGTTCCCACCAAGTATAGATACTTACTAAGAAGAACATCGATATATTTTATATTTATAACATTTCAGATCGAAACTGTATTTTCAGATAACGACCAACTTATAACATTAACTTGTGAAGGAAGAGGGCAAGACAAGCTTAAATTATGGTAACATTTGAAGGCATAACCTAAAACATTAATTAAATCAATAACATTAACGATTTTTTTACTTATGTTGTGATTGTAAGAAGGTAAAATTTTAAATTGCAACAATTATTATTATAATAACGTATAACTTTTCCTATTGTTAGGTAGACTTTTTTTTTGCAAACTGATTATATCGATAGTTTTTCCTCGAGTATCGATATTTTTGAATTATTAAAACAAGGAAAAGGAGAATGATATTTAAAAGTATCGGATATGTGCATATATTTCGATACAAAGGGAAAAATACCAAGTATTTATGCATAATATAAGCAATTTAGTGAAGGTACAGGCAAGAATCAGAGAACAAAAGGAGGGTTTTCGTCTTTAGAATATGTTTTCCATCTGAGAAATACACATTAATTCAGAAGAACATAACTGAAATTGCAATTTGAAGAATAGAGAGGTACATTGTCGAAACCCTAGTTTGCAATATCTTCAATTAAGTTTTTCGGATTTAGTGACTAGGTTTTATTGTATAGGGTAAAGATGTAGTACAGAGGATCGATTATTGTTATAGGTTGAAGGAATGACAAATTATTGTGGTTAGTAAAACAAGTAAAATGTAATCTTATAGGTTGAAAGAAAAAAATTGGGTTGTAGACAATTTTATAGGTTGTACACGATCAGTGACTGTAATGAACTGTTATGGATATAATCGATCATGAGAAGCAATTACATGTACATTTACATAACAATTTATTACAACAAATGTTGCTGGAATATGTATTGTATTGTATTGTATTGCAATAATTGAATGAAAATGAATATATAGAAAAAGATGCCATCAGTGGCTGAAAAACTGAGGGTGGATGAAATGAATAAAATGAGAGGCTGTGACATAGCAATTGTTATTCAAGAACAAGATGTTTTGGAGGAGCAGGAGACTACTGAGACAAAGGGAAGGCTGAAGAAACCAATGTCTCTATATATATGCAATTTTAGTAAGTAACCATGTATTTGTCTGAAACTTGTTTGAATGATGGTTATTGAATAAAAGTATAAGAGATGATTGTATTGATGAGAAAATTGAAATGTTTACAGTGAGATAGAATGTAGACGGTTGAAAGGAGTTTTAGATATGAAGGTTGGTTCTATGTGTATGTGAATTGAATTGATAAGGTTATAGAGAAGGAGTGTTATAAACATTATTGATAAAGCAACATTGATCGCATGTGAGAAAAGAAGAGACGACGAAATGGAAGTTGATGAGCAAAGAGGAGAAAGAACCCTATGTAAAATTGACTGAGAAACAAAAAGAATTATATAACGCATAGAGGAGTGGACATGAAAAGAAGGTATTCCACATATTTTCACGTCTATATAAAATGGTAACATTTTTTTAAATGTTTTGTAGAACATAAAATAACAATATTTTTGTTTTTTAAATAAATGTAGGCAATGTCCATAAGATATAGCTTGATAAGAATGTGTGAATTGATGGAGGAGTTGAAAGCACGGGGAAACCTCAATGTTGTTAAAGAATTAGAATTTGAGAGTTTGATCGATGTAACGACACGACCAATTCGTAGGGAGTTGTGTCGAGAGTTGTTTGAGAATTTTGATATTTAAAATCATTGGATTCGATTCGATGACTTTCATTCTCTTGTAGGGTTTGAACAAGTTGTAACTGTGTTAGGGCTAAAAAATGAAGGACTTGTGTGGAAGAAGTGTTTGAGAGGGAGGAGTGGAAAGAACATAGTAGGAGGTATAATATAAGGCCAAAAGTTATGTTACTTGAAGTGGAGGTAGAGATTAAAAGCGATAAATTTGCTTGTGATGATATGAAGGTGAGAGTTTTGTTGTACGTCGTTGAAATATTTCATTTTCCAACGGGTGATACATCCCTAAGAACGGAAAATATGAAGTTGTTGTGTGACGAAAGGATGAAAGGTGAATTAAATTGGGCGAAACTTGTTGAAGACAAATTGATAGATACATTAGTGATTTTCCAAAAGTTTGAAAAGTATAGATACTTACAAGGTTGCATTACAGTATTAGAGGTAATTGAGTATTGAAGATGTATTTTTTAAAAATATTTATTTAAATAAATAGAGTTGTAGTGATAAATTGATTAATTTCCTTTGGAATCCAGGTTGTCTTGTTTGATTTCTAGTCGAATTTTGCGAGTGTTATGACGTTAAAAAAACTGGGATTCCATGCATCCTTGCATGGGGAAAGGAAGAGGTGGTGAAAATTATGACCAAACTAAAATAAAAAAGACCGAGAAGGAAAGAAAAGGTAATAATAGTGAGGTTTTCTTATTAAGCATTAAATAACTTTGTTAAA